GATATTTGAAGATTTGTGATACTTTTCTAACATATGATTGGCAATGACAAACTGCTGTGAGCTTTCATGTCAGTATAGCCTTGTAGGCTCTTTGAGGTGAGAATGTAACCCAGTACTGCTGCTTTTTCTGGGATTAGAGTTCCATATCAAGTGATCCACTAACATATTTCTAAAGATATTCTGAGCATCAGGCTCTGAAACGATGTCTTCTGAGACGTGCTGCTTTGGCAGGCTGGCTATGGGATGGTTTTAGTTTTCCTTGTCCTGTGACTCTGGTTAGGGCTTCTGGTTAACACAATCTCCTGTGCAGGCAGGGAGTGCACAGCAGGCTGTTCCCTGCCATCCTCTGGTGGGGAGCTAGGAGGCAGCTCTCCTTGCCTTGGGCTTTGTATCCTCTCAACCTTCTGCAGCCTGTGGCAGTACCTTGTGGCAGAGTATTCCAACTGCAGGGTTAAGCTGCTTACTTTCCTTTTGAATATTTCTATTTAAATTAAGTTATTGCATACCTCAGGAGCATGGAAGTGTAAAGTATTTAAAGGGATGCACATAAAGTATTGAGTTGGCTGTGTTTCATGGGAAAATATGTGAATGCAAAGGACTCAAAGGAAAGAGGCAGTTCCTCCAGAAATAATGGACCTTTCCAGCAGGGCATGGTATATGGTCTTGCCTAGCAGTGCAGAGTCAGTAGGACTGCCAGGATGTCCTGATCTGGGTGTTGCATAGATTGCCTGGCTCTTTGGCCTGTACTTTGAATTGCCTCAGCTCTGTGAATGGTAGGTTCTGGAGGGATTTCAGAGAATCACAGAATCATCTGGGTTGAAAAAGGCCTTGAAGCTCCTCCAGCCCAACCATGAACTTCACCCTGACCGTTCCCAACTCCACCAGATCCCTCAGTGCTGGGTCAGCCCGACTCTTCAACCCCTCCAGGGATGGGGACTCCCCCCCTGCCCTGGGCAGCCCATTCCAATGCCCAACATCCCCTTCTGCAAAGAAATACTTCCTAAGAAACAGTCTAAAGCTTCAGATGAGCTTTAAGGCATCTTCCTTTTGGATTGGAGTGTGGGTGCTCATAAAATGGCTTGGAGGGATTTTGCTGTAGCTGGAGTGCCAAAGATTCAGCCTTGTAACCTGTCTCTGCTTGATTTCCAGGTTCATTCTGATAGCGTGTGATGGCCTCTTTAAAGTCTTTACACCAGAGGAAGCTGTGAACTTTGTTGTGTCCTGCCTGGAGGTGAGGAGAAAGCAGCATGGGGGCTGGGTTTGTCAGTGCAGGGGCACAAAATGGAATGACACTGACTTGCAGAAATGCATTTCAGCCAGGGTGTCCTCCCTCATACCTGAGGTTGTCCTTATTTGTTTTGTGTCCTCATGCTTGGGAATTCCCATGTGCTTGCACCTACGTGCTTTGCTGGGAGCAATCAGTGTCTCATCTTTCCTCATCCCAACAGGATAAGAACATCCAGATGAGAGAAGGGAAGCTAGAAGCAGATGCTAGATACGAAGCTGCCTGTAACAGACTGGCCAACAAGGCAGTACAGCGGGGGTCGGCGGACAATGTCACGGTCATGGTGGTCCGGATAGAGCACTGAGAGATGAGGTGCGGCAGCAGGATCCCCAGCTTGCGGCAGATGGAAGGGAAGGGAGGAGTCTGTGTGCGTGCATGTGTGGCTGGGGGAGGGAGGGTCCTGCTGATGCTCTTCAGTGTAAATAAAGTTGTTTTTTTTCTAATAGTTTTAGGTCACTTGGCTAGCAGTGTTTTCTAAGTGGCTGCCACAGTGGATCAGCCTATGTGGAAATCTCTTGTCCTGTCAATGCCCCGTGAATGTCTTGGCAAACCAAATAAATCCATTTGGCAGAGATGCTAGCGAGAGCAGGCATCTGTGGGTATGAACTCTGCCAGCTGTTCCAAACAGTGCAGTTCTGCTGTTCGTTTCTTTGAGCTTTGTATGAGGCCCTGGGAGGGTTCTGAGCTCTTAGGGTTCAGTGGACACCCCCAGTGGGGCTGTGCTGGACAGGCTGTGCAGTACCCCAGGCCACAGGCTCGGGGTGCACTGTGGGCTGTCCTCTCAGTGCTGGGAAGGAAAGCTTTTGGTTCTGAAGCTGAGTTGTGAGGTTGCATGCAGCTGAGTGATATCAGCACTGCTTGCAGAGCAGCAGCGTACATTCCCTCTGCTTGCAGAAAACACTGGGGTTCTGTCCTGGTTGTTGGTATGGCAAAAGTGGCTGGAGTTTTCTCCTGATGTTTACTGGGAAAGTGTTTTCACTGAATGTACCCGCCAGACAGCTGAGATGAGGGCAGGCTCTGTGCTTGCCTGTGTGCTATCCGAGGAGCAGGCATCTCAGGTTTTGGGTACTTGTTGCTATTAAGTGTCTGGTATCTCATCCCATCTCCATTCCTCTACCAGCTGTTACTGCAGAGAGATGGTGTGATGTTTTTCAGAGAAAAACTGGCTTAAGACCAAATGACAACATGAAAGCTAAACAGACTGGGCTACCAAAGCACTTGAATTCCAGATTATGCAACATTTCAGTCCTGTGGTGAGACAGTGCAGTGAGGGAGATGAGCCAGTGGGTCTGTGCGGTGGTTTCTTGAGCAGCTCTGTACTCTGTATGAGAAGGTGCAGGCCCAGAGAGGTTGGGTGAGTTGGTGCAGTGTTTCTTGCTGTTTTATGCATAGTCCTGCACAGGCTTGTGAGGCTTCCCAGGCTCTTTTCTGTTCCCTGGAGCTTTGGGAGATGGTTCCCGATGCTGGGCTGTGTGTTTTCTTGAGCACACAAACACTATCCTGTTATTTGGGACAGGTGGCTTCACTGTCTTTCGTCTATTTCTGCTATGGCAGAAGTCAGTTAAAGCTCATGGGCTGATGCTAACGCTTAGGATAACTGCCTAGTTCACACCAACTCTCCGCATCCCCTGCAGAGCACTGAGGAAGGCACTGGGCCTCTGTATTTTGGGTAGCACTTGCCTCTGCCAGCTTGTTCTGCTCCCAGCCATTCCTGCACACTGATGTAAGGTTGCCCTGCAGGATGAGCTGGGAGGGAATTGCCCATGTTAGCCACACGCTCTGCTGCCTCTGCTCTTGAAAGCCAAATTTGGAGAGTCAAGACAGAGTACCGTGGGCTTTCTTCAGTCTGTGGCAAAAGAAACGCCGATGGCAGATCTCAGAAGAGCAACTTGCCCTCCCTTCTCACCTTCCTGCTTTTCACAGTGTTTGCGTGGGGGAGAGCGATGCTGTGCTGCAAGAGCTGAGCTAGCACCTGTCTGGTGCTCCCTCCAGGAGACCCCTCTGAATTCCAGCACAAATGCTGATAAGTATCATCTTGTCCTTTTCCAACCATCTTCTCTCCCCCTCCCTCCTCTTGCAACTCTTCTTTCCTTCCCGTTAGAGAGAGTACTGAAAGAACTCCAGCTAGGAACATAATACACAGCTTTATAGTACAGTTAATAACTGTTTCCATAAAATGGACCATATTGATCAGTTTTCACAGCAGAGGGGAAAAGGAAGTGCTGTGGAGCAGGTTTCACCATGCCTGTGAGTAGCCAACCAGTTAGAAAGGGAGGTACAACCCCAGTCAAAAAACTGCTTGCTTGTATTTCGTGGTAGGGTGGGGTCTGCAAGAGGTTTCCTGACAATAAACTCTCCTTGCCTCACTGCTCAGCAGCATCCTGCTGCTCTGGGGACCTCTGGGATCACCACCCCAGGGTGGCCCATGCAGAAGTGCTGTGCATGAAGCTCCCTTCCCCTGGGGCTGACCGAGCTGCTAGCCCCCTCCCAGCCCCTAAATTAGCCCCACAGTAGCTCCAACTTAAAACTGAAACAGGTGTGCTGGGCTATTTATATCTCACTTGCAGAGGACACTGACGGGCTTGGCAAGCCCTGTTCTCCAACCAGTGAGTGATGTGTAGGAAGGGAGGGTGGCTGATCTGAGGGACATGGCCTTGGCGCACAGACCTGTGTGGTGGTTGGGAGGTGCCTGGGCCAAGCTCCTCAGCTGGGCAGGAGCTGCAGAGGCCTCATCTCTGCCAGGATGCGTCTGCCCACCCCTTCAGCTGGGGGAACAACACAGCCTTCCTTTCGGAGATAAGTTCTCTTTGCCTTGGGGAAGAATTCAGCATTAAAACTGCTCAGCCAGAGCCTTTCGCCCCCTCCACTGAAGAGTTGAAGCAACAGCTTCTTCACCAGGCTCCTTGAGGAGATGCAGCCTGTGGAGGCCAGGCTGGGCCTGGAGAGCCCTCAGGAGCGAGGCCCAGTGTAGAGAGGCTGTCTCCTGCCTATGAGCAGGGATCCCTGGGGGAAGGTGGGGCTGGGTGCCGTTCAGGCTATCTCGTGGCACTGCTGATGCAGCTTGCCCAGTGCTACGTGCTACTAAGAAATAAAACGTGCGGCTCCCTCACCCCACACCCAGCCTGCCCGGGTACCTCTCTGGCAGCGCTCCCTCAGGCACGTAGCCCTGCACCTGTCCTTGGCTCAGACAGCTGTTGGAGCCAAAGCGAGGAGCGTATCTGTGCTGCCCATGGCCTGGGCCCTGTGCCACAGGCAGGGAACGCCTGGCGTGGAAACCCACGGGACAGGAATTTGCTTTAATTGAATGTGTGGCATTATCGGGACTTTACTCTGAAGATTAGCTGTGAAGGGTGCTGGCTTCTGCCAGCAAACTGTCACTGCTGATATGTTGCAGAGAAGCTAAAGCAAGAGAAATAATCTGGTTTGGGCTGCTGTGAAGCTGGGCAGGGCAATCTGATGAGAGCGAAAATGGAGGCATGGGGCTTCATCCCAGGCACTGGGGCTGGGCACAGTGGGAGCTGAGTCCTGCAGAGAAAGTTGCTGGCTGCCACCATTGTCAGCAGCATTTTCCAAGATAAGCTTCCAGCCCTAGCCCTTAGATAAAAGTCAACTCCTTTAGGTTGCTTTTTTTTATTATTATTGCTGTACTTTTGTCCAGCTTCAGATGGTTCTGCAGCACGTGCAGTATCAGTCCAGGCTGTAGCTCCCACAGCAGCAAAAGATCTTCCCTGGGCTTGGTGCTGAGCCAGGGAAGTGTGAGGGTGGCTGGCAGAGGGAGGGTCCAGCTCTGGCACAGGTGCAGCTCCCTGTGCAGTGCCCAGCGCTGCTTCACACCCCCAGCAGAATGGCGCTGAAATCAGAGTTGCTTTGAACAGTGAGGGGAGAGCCTGCAGCGTTGTCCACAAAAACAGAAGTGTACTGCCCAGCCTGGAGGGAAAGAGGGCTGAATGGGGCTGGGGCACAGCCCGGCAGGAGAGAGCTGGAGAGCTGAGAAAGGGATGACAGAGAGGGCACGAGGGTGGCCCAGCTGTGCTGTGTGTTGTCGTGGCCCGGTAGCTTTCAGCTCTCAGTGTCCTGTGAGACACAGACCGAGGCCCACCCCTGGAGCTGGGGCAGCAGAAGGCACCTTCCTGCAGGGCACAGTCCGGAGCCGAGCTGGCACCACTAACCTCTAGGTAAAGGATTCCGGTGACAGAGATGGTGAAAAGGTCACTACCATTCTCCAGCCGGGACACGGTTTCCAAATTGCTGCCGAAGAGGGAGGGTGGTGCTGGGGAGAGCATGTCCCTCCTTCCCCCCGGTGCTGCTGGCCTCCTTCCTCCCTCGGGCTTTGACCTGCCCTACCTGTTGTGCTGGCAGCGGGACTGCACGCAGATCAGCGCCCGCAGACGGTTCCCCGTGCCCGGCTGCCCCTTCCGCCGCTGCTCCCTGCGCACTGGGACAGAGCGGGGGGTGAGAGCCGGCCTGGCGCTCCCCTGCGGGGCGGGGGGGGGGCCGAGCCCTCACCGATGCGCAGCGTGGCGGTGAAGGTGTAGTACCCTGCGACGGGGGCCGTGTACTGCCCGCTGGTCAGGTTCAGCCCCGAGCCACGGTGGAACGTTCCCTCCCTCTCCGGCTGGGGACAGGGAAAGGCCGGGGTTAAGCGTGGGTGCCCCGGGGGCAGAGAGCTGCCACGGGCAGGTGGGGGCGACAGCCGGGGCACTCACGATGTAGTAGAACCGCAGCTCCTGCCGCGATCTCTGCTCCACAGAGATGTTTTCACGTGTCCGGCAGTGGAAGGCTGCTTCCACGCGATGGTGGGCCCCAGCCTGCGGGGTGCCTGCACGGCTTTCCTTCTCCTCCTCTTCACGCCCTTCCCAGGCCTTCCTGCGCATTTTCACCTGCCCCTTAGCCATGCCTGATCGGAAAACCCCATCAGGGCTCGGCTTTAGGAAGGAACCTCGGTTTTCCGAGATGAGACAGCGCTCGGCTGCGCCGCCCAGCCCCGCAGTGCCTCGTCCCTCCTGCCTCGTGGTCCACCCCCCCCGCTGCTTGCAGCACCCCCCGGCCGGTGAGTACCTTTCAGCAGGAGCTGCAGCTCCCTCAGCAGCTCTTCCAGCAGGGCGGGGGCAGGGGCAGCGCCTGGCACACCGGCTTGCAAGACAGCCTGCGGTGATTTTCCTGGACTGGCCGGTACCGGGGCCGTGCCAGCCCCGGTCCCACCCCGCACTGTGCCCGTCCTGCCCCGAGCCCGGGGGCCGCTCGCCCGCCCGGGGCTCCCGGCCAGCAGCAT